TCCAGATTGCATCGGCACGCTACCAGGATCGCTTTGGACAGCGTGCTATTGATGACCCTGACCTGGTCATATTCTTGGGGGACAACGCGTCCAATCGGCTGACATGGTCCGCTGTCAGCGGCCGTTTGCCTACGTTCAGGACTGGAGGTGGCAGAATGTACAGCGTTCATAGGAAGCAATGGATGACGCCCAGGGATCGCCTGGCAGCTTTAGGCTTTCCAGTCAATGGGCCTACAGCCCAGGCTATGGGAGTGCCAGTGGTTCCTCTGGCTGACAACTTGAGGGCTGCTTCTGTCGCAGGCAATTCGTTTCACTTCATGACAGCTGCAGTAGTGCAGCTGGTGGCAATGTGCAGCTTCAAGATGTCCAGTGTTTGACAACTTATTTCAATTCTTGGAGTTACTTATAATAATACGTTTAAAAACCTTTATATTCAATGCAATCACACGTCTGACAGACACGTCATGTCAAAACACTGGCAGCGAATGATATAATCAATGTCAAAGGAACGTTGCCATAGTTCCGGTCTTTGAGAAAACATGTATCGTTGCCATAGGTCCGTCCGGTGTCTGAAATGCAGGGCGATTAGAGCATTAGTTGCAATTAGTTATGTATTTTTCCAATCATTTCTGCCTTCAGTCTGAGATTCTGCCAACACCACTTTTGACAGTGAGACGCTTTGTTGCTCGAGTCTTGTTGGTGACTGCTGTCATTGCTTTGCGTGCGTAGCGGCTTGGGCAATGCCACGACAGGTTGAAGCCGCAGAGCCAGTTAGGGGACGTTCCCCCAAGCGTCATGCACCACCACCTCCACCGCCGCCTGCGAAGAAGTTGTCAAAGCGTGACCGTGAAGTTGTTCCAAAACATCGCATTGCATCATCAGAGTCCGACGGGTCATCAGATGATGATAGGTGGCTTGCACCAATTATTAAAGATGTCATTTTTGTTTATATATTTGGTGTGGGCATAACAACTTTAATTTAGTAGATTGATTGATTCATTGAGTCGTTGTCAGCAAAAGCACATCTTTGATAAAGCTCAGGTTCATGGGTGAGGCTGTGACGCAGCCAAGCCTGACTGAGTCCAAGGGATCAAAGACACCTCGTGAGCGAGAGCGTGGCAGGGAGTCAAAGCGGGCCAAGCCAGGCAGGAAGGCGAAGGATGACGAAGCTTCAAGGGGGAGGAGAATTCAGACTGAGTATTACCGGTCTCAGGTCACAATCAAGGATTTTGTGGAACCTCGTTGGACAATCAGATGAATGTTTTTTGATTTTATTTAAAACTATTTCCGTGACCAACTTTGACTAGTTCATCATTGTCATCTAACAAAAAACATTGAAACATATCAGGATTGCCATTTGGTGGATTGGCTTGAAGCATGCGATTCCACATTCTTGAGTCGGGATGTCTACCAGTATGAGAAGCGATCCAAACTCTTGAGCGCACTCGCCTTTGCCACTGGATGGTTGCCGGATGATCCCAAGCTATCGCAACTAGACACTATCGTCAGTAAGTTGTTTTGGATATTTATGTTTTTTTCATTGTATCACTAGCGACTATCTAAAATAGATGTGATTTGAATATGAGTGGGATCGTATCAAATAAAACAAAACTCAGGGAAGAGAAGCAGAAGGTCCTTGACGGTGCGGCTGCTCAGTACCAGAGGCGTGGCGAGCCAGCAAAAGCCACTGGCTGGGCCCAGCTGAGATCCACAAGTTCATGCAGGTTCAACTTGACCAGTACCGCAAGGGCGAATTGAAGAGGAGCTCAGTGGGGGGATGGAAATGGAAACTCCCCAAAAGGTTGGAATCTGGCGAGCCGCCAGAGCTGCCTGAGACAGTCCGCAAGGCCATCACCAAGGATGACAAGGCCAATGATGCGGTGGTGGCCGCGAAGGAATCACCCGAGTCTGAGCCTTATGAAGTGAAGGTCTCAAGCAAAGGCAAACCCACGTTGGTCGAGGTAAAGTCTGGGAAGGCTGTGTCATTGCCACCACTGAAGAAGGGAGGTGAAGAGTACTTTGTCTACGCAGCTGGTGGGAAGTGGGCATTGGCTGGAGGAAACCCTGGGGACAATGAGCCTGAATATTGCGACGACCTCTTCTTGAAGGCCTTTGGCAAGGTCGTGCCTGAGGTAAAGGATAATGAGACTGAGAAAGGGAAGCCATCCAAAAAAGTGAAGAACAATAAGACTGAAGCCAGCCAGAGAACAGGTCCTGGTGTTGCAACGCGGCCACTCCTCATGAGGGGCATGGAATCTGCTGCTGCAGGCAGGCGTTCAGCTGAAAACGTGTTGTTTTTGTAACTTAAAAGGTGATTACGAATTTAATCTAATTAACATTGGCTTGACCCTCAATTAAACAAAAAAAAACATTGACAAATGACTTAAACGATAGCAAGTCACTTTGTCATTTGTCATCATCATCCACAGCCACAGACATACTCCTGTCAACTGTCAACCCGTGTTTGACAGGCGCTGCTCCCTTGCCTCCAGATGCTCGCAAGCACCGAAAGCCTGGGACAGCGTCAGTGACATCATCTACCAAACCACCGACCAGTGATGCCAGGCAGCCAATTGATGATGATGACGAGAGGGCTGATGATGTGAGCATGCCAGGCAGTCATTCACAGAGATAGAATCACTATTTGGTGCTGATGGCGATGACAAAGCGGCCGAGTCTGAGGGAGGAGAAGAAGATGAATCGGACAAGGATTGCCCACGCATTGAAACTTTGTCCAATGGAGAGCTGTTACTGATTGTCCCGGCTGAAGGCAAAGAGCTTGTGTTGCCAGCTGGGAAAGACTTTGCCCTTTCTCATGTCGCTGGCCTGGACGAGATTGACATGGTTTTGGTCTGTACATCAGACCCGAATGTCAAGAATCGCTTTTGTCACAAAGCTGTGCAGAGCTCTCATGCAATGCCAATTGGCACTCGTTTGGCTCAGTTGAAATCAGAGTCAGCGAAGGATACTGGTACTGACAAAGACAAAGGCAAGTCGAAGGAAAACTATGTTCCATCCAAGCGCAAGAAGGAGAAGCAGGCCCCAACGCCACCGAAGACCCCGATGATTACAAGTCTGGAGAGAATTGAGTCCGCGATTGGTGGCCGACCATCAAAGGTGCTGAAAGCAACACCCAAATCGGCAGCAACACCGGACACTGTGGAGGTGGAGGAGAAGGCAGAGCCTGCTACTGAGGAAGGACTGCCGAAGGACGACGAGGATACTCCTGACCCGCAGCAGATTGACCCTAGTCAGGTGGCACCATCAGCAGCCTCTGAGTCTGCAGCACCAGGTGAAGCCATGGACACCGACGAGTGAGTGATGATGCTGAGGAGTGAGCTGTAAATTCATCTGAGGCCGGCAATTCAATTCCGCACAGGGTGTGTCTGTCGAGTCCACTTGCCCGCACCTGCTCATCCATTGTTTTGAATCAATGGGTAACAGAACTGTATATTTGTGTTTGTTTTCAGCTGGACGTGGTGCTGTGAAATCTCTTTAGTAGTGGGTTGATGATCATTTCCAAATTGATTCCTCGGCCTAATAATTAATACCAAAATAAGCTATTTGGGGCTTATTCCTGCCTTATTTTCTGCCCAAGCTAATTCTGCTTATTCCAGCCTTATTTTGGGTCTATTTTGGGTCTATTTTTAGGTCTATTTTTGGTCTATTTTAAGTCTATGTTGATGACATCTATATTCATGTAATGCTACTTATTCATATGTTATTTCTTATGTAAATGTTTCACATTGTTAGGCATTGTCTCTTTACTTGGATTGTATCTGATATATGTTTGGGTAGTTGGTATGTAGTCTGAAAACGGTTTATGATGCTTGTTGAAATCATGTCGCGTCATGATGATCTGTTTTCCTTCATTATCCACCGAGTGTGTCGACATCATGAACGTATTACACTGCTTTTATGGTGTTCTTTGTTGATGCTTTTAGTCTGAAAAATATATTATATATTCGGTTCATTACACACATGACCTGTGGGTTAATATATGTCTTGATTGAGTCATGTTCTGCACAAAAAAGCCCACGCAAGTCATGTGCGATCAGCGAAAGATCCAAAACCATGCTTTCAATCATCAATCAACGCCACCAGTCATCATGACCGACTGGTCAGTCAGGTATAGTCGATCGAAACAGTCTAGTCTAATAAGTCATACCAATGAAAAGCTGCCAGGGAGCACTGGAATTCGGCGCATTGGACCAGACCACCGCTGCCGGGCCCGAGAAAGCACAGCCAGTGAGATGACCTGAAGATTGCAGCCAGAGCTTTGTCATCTAATTTATTGATCTCCATTCCTGGTAATTGGTAACATTTATTTTTCTCTGCTGCTGCAATCATAAACAAAAGAAAACACTTTTCCTTTGACTGGACGGTGTGTTTTAAATGTAAGAAAATAATGGTAGCCTCTGCTGTCAATGAACAGGTCGTTTAGCCCTTAGTTTTGAGAAACAGGCTAGAATCTTTGTCTTTGTGAATTGTTTACACTGTTTGGATTCAATGGCTTTGCAACCAACTTTTCTATTGATTCACGTGAGCCTGTGAGTCAAAGAGCTACTTATTCAGTCTGACAGTTTCGTAGGAAATGATACTGTATGATTTGCATCATCATGACATGATTCTTTGATTTGATGCGTCATGGTTTAATAATTCAGACTGATCACCGCTGCTGCCGTGACATCTGTCTGTCTTGCAGCACAAAAAAAAAAGCGGAATGCGTCTATTATTCTTTGTTGGTGAGAAGAACTGTTACATATATTAAAGATGAAGCTTAACTACTCAGCTGAATGAACAGGTTCCACTGTTCGTTAGTCGGACCGAACCGATTCGATTGGGGGTTCCTGAAATTCAGACAGATTCGTTCATCATATATTTCATAATATATAACTTATATAACTTTAACATGTGGAGGAAACCCGCAGCGCTGTCAGCATTAGTTTCGTTACGTTATCAATCTCGCGACCTGTCAGAATCCGTTTGTCTGAGCAGTCATGGCGGGCCTCAACCGACAACATGATCGCAGCAGCAGGTCGTCCTGTGATGAGTCTCAATCTGAGACTGAGGCACCCATCCACAATGAGATGGCAGACCACAACCAAACTACGATCAAAGAGTTTTTCTCAGAGAAGAAGGTCATTGAATCATCCTCGACTCAGTCTCATCAGAGTACAATCAACAAGTTTTTCAAGAAGAAAATATCGGAGAAGAAGACGAGCTCCTTGCAAACTACTTTTCAGAAGAAGACCATCGTGACCATCAACAAGACGAGCGCCAAACAGGGTGAAAGCAAGCCATCCGGGCAATCATCAGCAACTCAGACCACTGGGAAGCCTGATGATGTCAACTTGGATGACAAAACCACTGTGGCACGCTTCTATGTGGACCCTATGGCAAAGCCGCCGGCAAAACCACGGCGTTGGGATGGATTTTGCATCTTCTCAGATGGGTTGGTGGATATGAACTCATCTCCTCCTAGGAGGGGTTCAGCCGACAGGTTTGGGCGTGATTCTTCCCCGGTGTCACCCCGACCAAAACTCCATCGCAGCAAACGTCTTGGGTCCAATGGGTCTTGGGAGATGTCAGAGTCAGGGACAGATGATCGTGTTCCCACTGCATCCCCATCTCCGCCTCGGTCCTGGATGTCATCATTGATCTCCCCGAATCGCCTGCGAGATTTCTCAGCGTCGCCTTCGCCGCAGCCAGGGACCTCGAGCTCAGCGTTTGCACCAAAGAAGTAACTATGTGATTGCGGGTGTGAATTACATCGTTTCCCTGGCTGACGAAGTTCCTCATGACATGGTGTGTGAGTGTGGCATAGCGAGCTATTGCATAGCATTTTAATTTGTTGGACAGCGTTTAGGTTTCCAGTTTCTGACTGGTAGTCTGCAGTCTGGGTCAATGAGGGAGCTTGACTCGTTGACTGGTCTGACTCACAGTCAAGTGACGGATTTTACCTGTTAGTTTCAGTCTTTACATAATGACCGTAGTTCGTGATAGTGTTCCAGAGTTGCCATGACATAGAACTTGTACAGCCAGTGAACTTTGAAAGACACTTGCCCATCACTGTCACAGTGTGGGCGGTCAGCAAAGGAACAGAAGAAAGTTTAGCGCTGGGACTGATATTTGTTTTAATCTAGTTACTTGCGAGTACGATATGATTAATCTCAACGACTCTGGCCTGGATATCATTCATTTCAGTCAGTATTTAGTATAGATCTCTGGTCCAAGTCAGTCAGCGTCGTGTTTTTGATTTTTCCTGCCAAGCCACAACCTTTGTGGCCAAAAAAAAGACTGATCATGCAGATTCTCGCCGCCCAGGTCATGCCCAAGACGACGACGGACACCTTGGATGGACAGGCTGTGATGAGGAGCGCCTGTGGCCGTGTGGATTGTTTTTTATCTAGGCTGCTAGAGTCAGACCGATGCAATATTTAGAAATAGGTATATATATATATTTATATAATTGTAAACAATAAATCAACATCAGCAATTCATAAGTAAGAAGTCGTTCACCAGCATTGAATGATGATAGTCAAAGCGTGATGTTCGTTTCTGGTTGTGGTTGTCATGTAATCAATCATTATCTAATTATTTGTCATGTCATGAATCGATCCCCTGCACGGCGCAGGCCACGCATCTCGATGAAGGAATCCAAATCGTTTTACGTCCTTTGCCCAGATTCAAATTGAGCCAAACAGACTTCAATTCAATGAGGTTCTCATGACATGAGAATCACCACACATGTGACATAGTTATTTGTCGCAGTTGTTCCTGCTTTGAATCCCAGCCCGGCCCAACTACTCAGTCATCAGTGATCAAGAAGCCATGACATGACATGACCACGAAGAGACGCCGCCCAGGTGAACATGAAGGCCATGCACCACGTCCTGATGAACTTGGCCGGCCGACCCCTAGACTTCTTCATCCCAGATTGGGTCAAAAAAGACCGCAACGCTTTCTTTGGAGAGAACATAGGGAATATGCCGCTTCCTGATTCGATGGATTCATGTGGCATCCTGCGTTTTGAACCTCGCCTAAAGAGTATATACATTATTTATGAATATATGAATGGACTGACAATTAAATGATGCCCAACACCTCTTTTTCTGTATCAATGTTGACAATCTACCAATTGTTTCTGAATCAATGTTTCTGACTTCTGACGACGCAGGGGGTGTTATTTCAGAGCGATGATGCTTTCAGACTTCAGCTAATCTAAGGTATGTGATGAAGAGTCTACCCAGAACAAAAGCTTTCACTACCTTTTCAGTTTCTGCGGACTGAGAGGAGGCACTACTCCAGACATCAACCACTGGAAGTGGAATTGCTTTCGCAGAGCATGTAAGAGTAGCAACCTTGATGTTAGCCTCATGAAGATCACTATCTCGGCTAACTACGGTCATGGACACAAAACAGGTGGTGAACGACGTACCATGCGAGCCGAGTATCTAGACGCCTTCTTGCAGCAGCAGTCGCCTGAATATTTCGAGGAGATGGCTGAAGAGATTGCCTTGGACCGAGGCCAACCAATTGAGGCAGATTCAGCAGCAGTGCTTCTGGAAGATTACTTGAACGCTGACAGCATCCGGCGATTGGGTTTGTTTGTCGCTGGACTACATTCATTAATCAACATTCACGGATTCACATGACATGACAGACAGTTGTCAGAGTTCGGTGTTATAGAATCACTTGTTTTTCGTGTCATGCATTATGATGGTTTTTCAATCTACTTACTGGAGACCAAATTTGGCTGAATAACTCCATCCCCAATCATTCATTTTTAAAAAGAATATTGGAAGATACAACCGAATCATCTGACCTGGGGCCATTCAAATTTCACACAGTGGACGTGAGCGGCATTTCAGCTGCAGGTCAAAAAACAAATCGTGGTTTGGAGTCCTCAATGCACTCAGACAAATGCTGCTGGATTGGACAATCCTTCGTGAGGGGGGCAAGGGCTATCATGACGGTGTCTGGTGGCAAAGTGACTGGGCTAAGATCAAAGTCAAAACCTTCAACAGCAGTTCCAGGTACTTTCTTTCCCCACCATGGTCCCACAATAGTCAGTCAACCTAAATTAGGTATTCAGGGAACATGCCACCTCCTTAAATCAATGCAACCTCGTCGGATTCAGGTTGATGATGATGGTCCCCGTGGAGGCGCGACTGTGGATGATGAGGCGCATACTGAAGATGAGGCTGCTGCAAACGACAATGCTGCTGATGATGATGACGCACCGCCTGAGGGTGAAGCTCCTAGGGGATCCGCTGACCCTCCACCCGCGAAGAGGTTGACAAAATCAGAACTTTTTGCCATGTACAAAGGGAAAGGTCCACATGTAATGAACCTGGACATCCTCAGTGAAGACAAACACAGGGCCCATGCGTGCATTGTTGTACATGTAGCTGCACCTCTTCATGAACAGTATCAGAGTGAGTTGAAAGCACAGTCGGAGGGATTGTTACCAATGTTGGATTGGGTCTCAGCACGGGCAAATGGAGCAGGAATGGATGTGGTGCATAACACGCTTAAAGCTGGAGTCTCAACGGTGTTGTACACTGCTATGAGATGCGCACCCCACTGCAACCCTGCCGCTGACTTTGACCATGAGACAATGCAAGATGATATCCAGCTAGCTGAACAGGCAACAAAGTTTTCCGTTGAGTTGGCCGCTAATTGCGCCTGGGCACAACAGCTGTACTCACTGACATTGCCCTTGTGTGGTGGTGTCCTCCTTTCCCGTCATCGTGCTGCTCAAGTCCTTGCGCTGAAGAGATTGAAGGTTCTGGTATTGAGTATCTTGCTAGGCGAGAAGAAATCTCTCCGGAGTTCTTGAGGACTTGGCCTTTCAGGATGAACCCCTAGCAAGGGAAATGATGATGCTGTTGAGAAAAGGCCGCTTCAACATTGACTCCCCAGAAATCTCTACAGTGCGAAGGTTGATGCGTCGATTTTGGACATCCTCTTCAAGTACAAAAGAGATACTGGAATCCACATTTGGGCACCTTGCAGATATGGTGGCCAGATCGAGCACCAATAAGAAGATGGCCCCGAATCTGCTTTGGCTTTACTGCACTTCTTGCCCCTATGTCAAATCCAGTGGGATGAAACAGTCGATGCCTGATAGCTCTGCATGGACGCGCTTTGCGTCAAATTATGGTCAGTCCAAAACTGCGTTGATGAAAAGCTTCAACAAAGCATTTCAATTGGGCAGCGCCTACACTCTATCAAGCTCAAAGGATGTGGTGTTTCCAAAAACGGTGCGGGGGCTGTACAAGAAAGAATGGCGTCACGCAGGCCCATTGAGCCATTACAAGTCAAGTGCAGCAGCATCATATTTGATGTATGACGCCCCGTCGTTTGGAAACCTTATGCATGTGTGGGCAGGTCAGGGATGCAAAAAAAGACGATTGCCAAACCCCGTCAAAATGTTTTAAATTTTCCCTGACAACAATTACAATCGTCATTGACTAGTTAGCCTAGTTATTATAAACAAAATCTAGCCCTATGACCAAACTCAGCCCCCCTCCCATCTGCAGGATGCCTATTGCAGCGTGGCGGTCTCTTCGTCGATGCAAAGGATGGCTGCTTCTACCTGTCGCTGGGCTTCTGCAAATACTGCAGTCTTGGTATCCGGCTGGAACTCTATCAAGATCCAAGTAGTCAAAAGGACCGGTTTGCGTTATTATTATGAAATTTTGAAATCGGTGTCTCACTAACAGTGTCGTGTTGGTTGTCTGGCAGAATGTTGGGAAGGTGGTAAACTTCTTATTGTTAAACTTTGTCACACCCTTGAGTTCTTACCATAAAAAACATATTATTGTGTCACAATGCCTGCGTGTCTTTTGTCAGGAGTTTCTGGCACTTCCTGCTCATCCCACTCAACAAGTTAAAAATTATGGCCTTAACGGAGTGGAGCCGATGTTCAACTTGACGGCATGCAGAGAACACACCGTCATGGAGAAGGGTGATCGCGCATCCCTGCCCACCAGCCTGTCTTCCTCATCAGCTGGCTCACCTTGGGTCTGCGTTTCTGGTTGAGAAAAAAGACGAGTGGATTTTGAGGGCTGGAATTCGGGAAGGTCTCAACCTTACCATTGCTCAGCTAAGATCTGTGTGTGCCTCAATCAAAGCACCGGTCCCATCCAAGGGGGCGGGCACAGGGAAGAACGGCAATGTTCTGAAGAAGGACATTGCGCTGAGCCTTTTGAAGTTCCTCTTTCCAGATGGTGCTGTGGATGGTTCAGAAATCAACCGAATGCTAAAGCACATCATGGGATGGGTCTCTACTCCCAGCAATGTTGATGTGTTGGCTGCTATGTCTGAGTTGGACCTACACAACGCTGATGCGTTTGAGCACGTGCGGAAAGAGGCTTTGAACCAATTTGAGGAGGCATTGTTCGGGAAGGGCAAGCAGTGTGGAATTGAGCAAGCAAAGACCCAAAAGGAG